TTAAGTTTTCAATCCAAGACTTCCACCTTAATCAATTGATTCTGATTCATTAGTCTAACAAGACAAGATCCCCAAGTGGAAGAAGGGTATATCAAAGTCAGGATAACCTTTACCAGAGTATTTTCAATTTCAATGTATGGATAGGAAGGCTGAATTGTGAGGAAAGCTGGTGGGGGGTGGGGGATCAATTCAGAGAAGAGTTCAACAGAGACCAATGGACTGCCCCAAAAGACAAATAAATGGGTCCAAGAGTAAATTAAGCTTGAACTCTCACTAGAGGCAAAGATGACTAAAAGGAGGTTTGGACACATCATGAGATGATGTGACTCTTTAGGAAAGATGATAACCATCAGATAAGTGGAAGGTAATAGGAAAAGAGGAAAACCACATTACAGGTGAATTGACTTGCTCAAGGAAGCCACAATCTTGAATGTGCAAGACCTGATCAGAGCTGTTGATGACCAAGGCTCTTGCCGGTGTCCCATTCACAGGTTTTCCCGTACATCAAAGCTTACTTGAAAGCACACAACAACAACAAGTTAGCTCTTTTTTCCAGCCATAAATTAGTTAATGCTCAGGATCCTGAAGGCAAGAATGAAGCCACCTGAGATCCCCAGTCACCACCAGCTTGTTTGTCAGAGAAGGGACTAGGGGTGGGCAGGCACAGGTAAGGGGAGAAAAACAAACACCAAAGTGAGGATTGTCCATGCCATTGTCTTCCTCATCACCATGTACGGATGTGAAAGCTGGACAGTGAAGAAAGCAGATAAGAAGAAAATAAACTCTCTTGAGATGTGATGCTGGAGAAGAGTGCTGAGAATACTGTGAATGACCAAAAGGTCAAACAAATTCGAAATTCTTCCTAGAAGCCAAAATGACCAAATTGAGGCTGTTGTTCTTTGGCCACATCATGAGAAGGCAGGACTCACTTGAAAAGACAATAATGCTAGGAAAGGTGGAAGGATGTAGAGAGAGAGGAAGACCACATGCCAAGTGAATAGATGCAATCAAGGAGGCCCTGAGACTGCAAGACCTGAGCAGAGCGATTGAGGACGGGGGGCCTGGAGATCTCTTATTCACAGGGTCACCAGGAGCCAAAGGTTGCTCCCAACATTTGTTGCCAGTTGGGCCAGTTGTCTCACTTTGCACATGGGAAAGCTGACCTTGATGTCTTGTCTAGCTTCTTGACCAATGGGCTCTCTAAAGGTGAAACTAGATTGCTTTGCACATGGCATGACATGCAGCTCTATTCCTTCCAGAGCCTAATTATAGGTACATGAAGAGGACAGGGATCCTTACAGAGAGGTGGCAATTAGGTTAATATCTAATTATGATTTCGGTGTGCCATGTATCAAGTGAACATCTAAGCCTTTCATGACATCATGGATCAATTTTTTTAGGTCTCCCACCCTGTCCCAATTAATGGCACTCAAAGTCCTGAGATATTGCCTTCTCCTTTTTTGAAGGCAATGGTAGACTTCAGGCTCATCTGATCTGCTTTGGTTTCTTACCACAACCCAAGTCCCACCAACTGGAGCCAAGTGGAAAGGAGTTAAAGAATGAGATATCTCCAATATCATTCTTGGCCTAGGAATGCACCAGAACAGAACTGAACTCAAGGTCCATTGCAAGCTTCATTTTCAGTAGCCTAATAGAGGTGAGAAAGTGATTTTGTTGTGGGTTTCATAAGCAATTGGGATCAGAAATCCTTGCTGGTCTACTGCAAATCACCTGGACATCTACTAGTACAACATGGCCCAAGTTCTGCGTATTTCTGTCTTATGTCTCAATGCCATGCACAAACCCCATTCAAGATATATGGAAAAGTCATCCTCAGCTCAAATGGACAGAAAAGCATGGTCAGGAGTTCAGTATGGTTCAATTCCAACAATATCCAGGAAAAAAGAACCATGATGGCTGAGAGGGTTGTGAAGAAATCTCTGCATGTAGAATTATGCCCTCATTGTGCTGTACAACCTTTCTGGTGAATAGCATGTTGCACAACTGAGCGTACATCGAAATGTGCAACCAAATGCACCACCCAATGTCCATGTGCATCCACATGTGGAATGGCATCACACCCACAACTCCACTTCTGCAACCTTGAACTGAATATGGCATGTTCCTCATAGGATATAGGTGCTTCCTTAGGTAAGCTTATGTATGCCTAAGACACCAACACTGATAGATCTATGTTGCTGTCTTTAAACCCAACACACTAGGAATGGGATCCTGTTAGTGACATATGTGTGTGTAAGTGTGGTTTACACAAGTGTATGTCTCTTTTGGGACAGTTGCAGGGAACTATTCTGTGGCCTTTTGCCTCCTATCCATAACCTCTTCCATGTAGCTCTTAAGACCCTGGAGGGGTTTAGATAATATCCAGAAATAACCCCATTTTCCTTATGGCTCAGGCCACTGAGTATGTCAAGGGAGAAAATACAAGATCATCTTCATCTGCTGCAACCCTCTCCCCCAACCTGAGTCAGATATTTGTGCAGTCTATCATGCCTCCCAGCTATCCTGATGGAGACCAGCAAGGAATCTTACATTACTGGCTTTTCTAAAGAAATACCACCCAAAAGCAGTGTATTGGTTGGTTTCCATGTATAACAGCTTTTTAGTCATCTGGAGGGTAGTTGCTAATAGTTCCTGTGACTTTAAGCAAGAGAGGAGATGGCTGGGGAGGAACAGGGTTTTTTTTAGCATGGGAAACCAGTTCAGGTACATAGTTTCTGCCCTGATATTATGTTCCCACTTCTCTTCCATCTGCAACAAGAGTTGACACTGTCTAAGATCCAGCCTCAATCTGTCTCCTTCCCCAGACAATGACATAGGGTGCATCTACACTGTAGAGATAATGCAGCTTGGATACCTCTCTAGGTATTTCTAGGTCCTCCAACAATACTCTGTGTTTAACATCAGCTGGAAATATACCACAGAATTGTGCTGGAAAACCTAGAAAATGGCTAGAAAGAACATATTTGTTCGCACATGGTTAACTGAAACCATGGGTACAGGTCCCATTTGATTGGGGGGGGGGGCATACTGTAGTTACGATGGATGGCAGAGGATCTTGGCCCATAATTTGCTTAAATAACAAGAGGTCTTGAAGATTTTTGGTTTTTCTTTCCCATTAAAAAGTCCCATAATGCTAAAAGTATCACATCAGGTCGCCAGTTTTTGAGGAGATAGGCTTGATGTGTCAAGACACCCTTAGTCACCAGGGATAAGGAAATGTGTGACCATTCTTTTAGTAATGCTTACAAATACCTGTATCTCTGGTGACTTCTATAAGAGCATTCTTCTAACAGAGAGAGTGTTGCATAATGGTTTGAGCATTGGACTATGACTCTGGAGACCTGGGTTCAGATCCCCACTCACCCTGGTCCAGATTTCAGTAGACTGAGGTGTGGATGCTTCTTTGGCAAGGGGTTTGGAGACAAGGTGGGCCCATAGAAACAGAGAAGTGGGGAGTAAACTTGGACGAAAGGCGGGCAACTTTGAATAGTTTCCATCTATTCCATCTACACTGCAGAATTAATGCAGTTTGATACCACTTTAACTGTCATGGTTCCGTGCTAAGGAATCATAGGATTTGTAGTTTCTGGTGGCACCAGAGAAGGCTAAATAGCTCATAAAATGACAAATCCTAGACTTCCATGGTAGCGGCTTTGAGTCCCTATGTTAGGAGAAAGGCAGGATATAAGAAAATATAATAATAATAATAATAATAATAATAATAAGCAAAAGTCCAGCTGCATTACTTCTGCAGTATGGATGCAGCCAGCCAGACTCCATCTTGTCTCTACCATACTTTGCCTCCCCTTTTGTTCTTCTAAAAGCTCCAGCTAAGCCCTGAAGCTTAGCTCCTGGAGTCCCCCACCGTCTGCCTTTGTACGCTAATCTCTTTTGGAAGGCTATTTGTTTTGTTTTTGGTATTCACTGTAGTGTTTCATTAGTTTCCATCCTAAATCCTCTGTGTATTATTTCCTTCCAGATTCAATTAAATGGGCCGCCTGTCCCTTGAGCCAGGAGGGCTAAAGCCGGAAAGTGTTATTAGTGCTGTTGGCATAACAGGTGGCTTTGGAACGGAGAGAGAGAGAGGGCTTGCGGCATTCATCTAATGAGTCCTTAAGCTCCAGGCACATGGGTCCACCACGGGACCGGCCATGTGGAAGGGCAGAACTCGACCCCCATTTCAGATCTCTCTTAGCTGACCCAGATGAGGAAAGAAGGGGAAGCAGGAAGGTCTTTGATGAAGATAACAGTGTAGGCTTGCAAAATGTACAGTACTCCCCACAGCATGCTTTCCCTGATATACTGGGCATAGGCGTATAGGACCCCCATGAACGTGGGAAAATGCAAATAAAAAAACACTACTTAAAAAAAACAACACATGAGAGAGCATCTCTCTAGGAATATCTAGGTCCTCCAGTGCAACTCGGTGGTCAACATCCACTGAAGGTTGACCATAAGACCATGTTGGAGGACCTACAAATGCCTAGAGAAGTATTTTCTCTAGGAATCTCTAGGTCCTCCATCACAACTCTGTGTTCAACTTCCAGCAGAGTTGTGCTAGAGGACCTAGGGATTACTAGAGAGAACCTATTACTCAAATCTGTGAATATTGCAATCCACAAAAGTCAAAGCTGCAAGCAAACCTATCATGGAGTTTTCTTGGCAAGTTTCTTCAGAGGGGTTTTTGCCATTGCCATCCTCTGAGGCTGAGAGCATGTGACTTGCCCAAGGTTGCCAGTGGGTTTACATGGCTGACCTTGGATTCAAACTCTGGACTCCAGAGTCCTAGTCCAACACTCAAACCACTACGCTACACTGGCTCTCAGATAATATGTGCGTATGTGTGTGGAACCAGAGTGGTATAGTGGTTTGAGTGTTGAACTAGGACTCTGGAGACCAGGGTTTGATTCCCCACTTAGCTATTGCCTTCCCTGAGGCTGAGAGCGTGTGACTTGTCCAATATCACTCAGTGGGTTTCAAGGCCGAGCTGGGAATCGAACCCTGGCCTCCAGAGTCATAGTCCAACACTCAATCCACTATGCCATGCTGGCTCTATTGTATTGTACTGTACTAAATTTAATATCTTTCCTTTCTCCCATATGAGGCCAAAGGTGGCCCATAATACACATTGTTCTCATGCTAAAATTGAAACTTTTTAAAAATAGGAACATCCCTTCTCAGTGGTTTTTGGGAGATGCACCACACTCTTGGGGAAGAGAACAAAATAAAAAGAAGAAGACAATTTGGGGAGCCAGGAGAGGATGAGTGACACAAAATTTGCTTGGAGGGCAACACAGGGTCCCTGGGACACTTTGCCAATCCCTGTTATACCTTCTATTTTTAGAAGGTGGCATAGTGATTTGAGTGTTGGACTATGACTCTGGAGACCAAGGTTCAATTACCCACGGGGTCACCCTGGGCAAGACACACTCTCTCAGCCTCAGGGGAAGGCCGTGGCAAAGCTCCTCTGAACAAATCTTGCCAAGAAAACCCCATGATAGGCTTGCCGTAGGGTCACCATAAGTCAGAAACATCTTGAAGGCAAACAACAACAAATCTCCTTTATTCTACTATACCTCATCTGTCATAACTCATCTATTCATGATCTCCACTTCACTTGTGAGAACATTTGGTGTATTAAATGATTTATCTCCACACCTGGTGAACCTGGATATCTTTCACACACCCACTGAGAAGAAAAGCCATGCTACTGTCCTTTGGGAACGGGCAAAGGATAGGCTGGCGGCTGGCAACAAAACAGACCCAACAAGTTCCAGGTAGGCAGGTAACTCAGGGCGAGGACTTGAAGGCCCATAATCCTGTCTGGACATGACTGTTTCCACATTGGTCTTGGATGTTTGCCTCTTCTGCTGAGGAGAGAAGGTTTCACATGGTTGTCGACAGACACTGCCCTGAACCCTGCTGGTAGTCTGAATTACAGTGGACCCATTGGATCAATGGCATTCACCCATCTGTCAACTCATCACCCAACAATCCATGGGTCTACTCTAGTTGAGACTAACCAAGAGCATCCCAGCCACCATCTTGGGGTTTATAGGGATTCAACTAGACTACTCTCATTGTAAGGATTGGGAGCATAGTTTCACTGCTACTGGCTCCACATTTGATGGTGTGTGTGTATGTGTGTACTCATAAATCCTTCACCCAGCTATGAAGAATTGGCATGGGTTAGAACAGTTGGGGCAGATAACTTCTGAAACGTATGTGGAAATAAGATATGTCTTTCTCTTAGTCTAGGGGTGGCCTATGAGCTGAATGTGGTCCTCTGGGCCCCAAAGTGTGGTCCCTGAAGCCATCAAGAAGCCCTCCAAGCCAACATATATATGTGTGTGTATGTGTGCATGCACATGGGCCTTCAGGTTGCCTGTTGATGTATGGCAAACCCATGAATTCCATAGGGTTTTCTGAGGTGTCATCAGGTGTGGTCCATAACCTTGCATCCCCCTCCCCATGACCCCCCCCCCCGCCTAGGATTATCCTGATCTGGCAACCTTGCCATTTATACGTTAGGACACTGGGTAAATTTTTTTTATTTTTCACTCTACCTCGGTATAGGGTGGGCAGTCATGGGAATCATGTGACCCACCAGATATTGTTGGATTGCAGCTCCCATCATTCTTCCCTGTTGGCTATGCTATAGACTAGGGATGCTGGTACTTGCAGCCTGGCAACCCCTGGAGGGCTACATGATTTCCACTTCTGGTATAGTTCTTCCCAGTGCCCTGCGGATGCTCCTTTTGTCACTTATGCCACCTGGTTGGCACACACACACACACACACACACACACACACACAAAACGGTCCCATCAGGAAATTCATTATATGGTGTATTTGTTTTGCTCCACTCACCCCAAGGGATGAATAGTTCTGGTCCAGAGGGTTTTTGCGTATGAGAAGCATAGGTCTGAAGGCCAAGATGTTGTGTCGTGTGAGGTGTGAGGAACTTGGGGGCAAGAGAGTAAACAGCTGCATCATATCCTGCTTGCGCCTGGCTTCATGTTCACTGTCATTGGTAACTTCTTGAAACGTTGCATAAGGGAATGGAGTAACATTTGACTGAGCTTAACCACAGCAACCACAGTCCCGTCAGAAACTGGGCACATATAGATAGGTAGATATAGATAGACACGTATGTATGAATGAGAAGGTCAAGAATCACATGGTTATTAAGACACAACAATTACTCTATCTGTAACCTCACATTTGCAATACTAATAAGACTAAAGAGACAGGTGGAAGGTCTCCCCTTGATGTCAGTCTTGATGTAAAATGTAGTCTCATGGGAGAAATATGACTGCCCTTGATTCCTTTACGTTTTTGCAGCTGCATGAGGGCACTCATTTATTGGAGTCAGGTAGTAGAGAGGAAAGCTGTTAGCTGATTACGCATGACACACAAAATGATTGTTTCTTCCCTCTGCAAAGTAGTCATGATGTACACCATGAGGTCACCATCACTTTCCAGTTTCTCCATTTGTGTGTGGACTTACCTTGCCAAAGTTTCTCTTTAAGCAACTGATTGGGTTGGTTCTTGCCTCAGCCATGTTTTCAGGTCTGTGTGGATGGAACCTGAATCAATGCTGGTTAGTTTGGAAAGTATGTTCATGCCAGGTAGAAAGCATTAATTGAGAATATGTGGAACTGTACCAACGTTTTGGTCATCATGTGGTTTATCCTTGATAGGGAGACCATGTGGACTTTCTATATATTAAGAGAGGTATGAATTTGGATGACCGACACCAATTTATGTACTGGTGCCCATTCAGCTACTGGTGCCCATTATATGTCTAGACCCATCCACCTTTAAATAGCATAAGGTTTTGGGGCATTAAAAATAATGTCTGGAATCCTGCATCAGGAAACATACATCACATGTGGCTACATTTTCATAACCATGCCTTCCTTCCCAGAACCCACCATTTAAGCAATATAGCCAGCATGGTGTAGTGGGTCAAGTGTTGGACTACAGCTCTTGGGATTAGGGTTCAATTCCTTGCTCAGCCACAGAAACCCATTGCGTGACCTTGGGCAAATCACACACTCTCAGCCGGAGAAAACCCAGTGAAAAGTTTGTCTTGGGGCTCCATAAGTCAGAAACGATTTGAAGGCACACAGCAACAACAAAGCCCCTGTAACACAGCCATTTCCACATTGTAGGAAAGCAGGGAGAATCAATGGCGACACATCAAGCTATTTTCCTGTAGGTGGATGAACTGAAAGAGGCATGCATAGGGATCTTCAGGGGCCAAAAATGCCAGAAAATGAGACCCATACCCTGCCAAAAGTGACCAGAAGTCTGATACTGATTTTGAGAGAGAGAAGAAATGATGGCTGGTATCCTATTGGGAAGTCAATTACAATTACATAAAGTTGAATTGCTCTATCGTGCAACATTCATATTCTCAGGGACCATTGCATATGGGGAGGCAACAGTGTAGTTCTTGCGTGACATGGCCTGATGCTCAATGTGTCCCAATAGGCAATGTGTCCCAAAGCACTGCATGTCCCATTGCACACTGGGAGCCCCTGCTGCACAACAGCACTTCTTGCCCCCTCGTGCACCATTGTCACAGTTGTGCATCGCATTAGCAATGCAGTTTGGTCGTCGTAAAGTTATGCACCATAGCCTCTGATGCAGCATCCTGGCTAATATGTTTTGAGGTTAAACAAGGCAGCCTATTTAAAGGTGTTTAAAAGATGAATTTGCTTCCAGGAGAAACCAAAAGAATCCCTTTGAGGGGCACAGAAAGAGTCAAGAGGTTGCCCTTTGACTGCCTGTGCTCCAGCCCATTAAAGCATCCTTTATGCAAAGCTCTCCATGAGATGAAACCAAAACAAAACATCAGCTGAGCACTTGTTCTCTATTTTCTTTGGTCCTCTATGTACCTAAATTGTGGCTTCCCAGTCCCACCCATCAGAAAGAATTTGACAGACGTCAGTGGCTGCTTTCGGGGACAAAAAGGGGGAGGAAGAGGAGGAGGAGTATGGCCAGAGTTTCATGAAGAAGTGACATTTTGTCCTGGAAGAGGCCTTCCCAACTGGTATGACAGGACGTGGGGAGGGGGAAGAGGGATGCATTCCTGGAGGTTGCCACATAGCTGGGTGTCTCAGGAAAACTTCCTCAGGACACACCTATTGTGACAAGAAATTATGTAACTACCTTCCAAGGAACTACTTTGCTCTGCCCAGTTGTAATGGGGGGGGGGAGTAATTAGGTATTATTTCCAGTACAGAATACAACCTGCGTTATGCTCTTACTAATCATCAGCTTCCACACAGTAAAGCACTAGTTCCCCGTCTCTGGTCCTCTAGCTCTTTTGGGGCTTCAAGTCCCAGAAACTCCAGTCAGCTTGGTTAGTAATCGGGGATTCTGGGAGCTGATGTCCAAGATATGTGGAGGACCAAAAATGGAGACATAGAAGTCAACTGGGCCTATAAAAGTGGCATGTGCATCACCTGCCAACATTTCCTTTCTGCACAAAACATTAAGGCACAAGAGCTGTAAACCAGTGTACTTTGAGTTGTGTGTTGTGAGAGCAGCAATTCTACCCACAAAGATCCCAGTGTGCCTGGGTTGGGTACCATATTTTGTTGGCTATTGGATTCAACTGATTGTTTCTTCCCTAGAAACTCACCAATGACTAATGAACTGGCACCAGTCAATGGACCATACTTTCAGCAATATTGCTCTATCCTATATCTCAATATCCTATATCCTATATGGTGGCCACTAAGGCTATTCTTGTGACCCATGACTCCTCCAGACTGCCCTTCTTCTGGCCAAAATTTTGTAAAGCATTGGCCATTCACTTTCAAAAAAAGGTTGTAGAAACTCTTGTACTCTTTAACATTTTAAAAAAAAATCTGTTTTTCAAGACCAGAAGTAGACTTCCGGACACTTCTATGTTTTATATTTTTGGGGAGAGGGGTATCTTTGCAGCTACCAAATGTTCCCAAGGGTGGGAAAATGGTCATTGGCCCCACCACAGTTGCCCACAGTTGCGTCTATGTGATGCTATAGTGTCAGAAGT